GTATGGAGAACCTCGAGGAATTGAATTTTCAAATAGAAACCCTGGAAAAGTCTTTTTTTTTTTAACACCTTTTTCATGAAAAGCTTCTGTGTCACGATACAAAAAGAAACGTTTCATGTTATACACTAGGTACCATAGATTTGATTAGTTTGTTTTGTCACACACTTTCGTGGACCACGTTTGAGATTTTCAGATGTTATAGCATCTAGTATATATGTACATATAATGTTTTCATAACTGTAAATTGTAAATTGGAGTAATAATTAGGCTGCCATTGTATTCACTGTTGCTTTAGGTGTACCATCTATTTCAATAGTTTAGTGCTTGTAAACAAGTACTGATGAGAGTTTATTGCAGATTATTGCTTGAAAATAAGAATAAAGTTCATGGCAAATGATTGAGAAATCTACTTACAGCTGTTATCCTTTTTCACCTTTTATTGTATGCCTCTTAACCCATTGCCGCCGGGGATGGCATGTACGTACATGCCATGCCCACTGTGAGTCGACTTGTTTGATTGTTTTTACACATAGATGGCTACACTTGTACTAAGTATCCAGTGAGCCAATTACAAGTACTGCTTCTCTCGCCCGTTCACCCTTTTCATCAATTTACAAAAATATTTAACGTTATCCTAATTTGCTGTTAAAAATAACACCATCTAGATTTATAGCACTAGTAAAAATACATTTTTTCCCATCAATTCAAGGAAAGGTGAAATCAGGACTAGCAGAGCCATCTATGTACAGATATTTTACAAAAATATAAAAAATGAGTACAGGATTTTCCCCATTTTTTATTCATTATCCCTGACGGCCATGGGTTAAAAACTGGGTGTTGTATTTTCTTTAAAATACAGTAAGTCCCCAACTTAAGAACATAATGGGGACTGAGAGGCTGTTTGTAAGTTGATTTGTTTGTGTCGAAAGTCAGGTCTCCATAACTTTTTTCCCATTGTTTTAATGTTTTGTTTACATTAAGAATACCTGTAAATATATCCCAATAAGTACGACATACCTTATACAGTACCAGACTCTTGAACTATATTCGCGCACAGGAAATTTGAAGTTTACTAGCATCTTTCAAACAATTTTTTGGACTTTAGTACTTAACCCCTTGGTGCCGGGTATGACGTGTACGTACGTGCTATGCCCACAGTGAGTACTTGTTTGATTGTTTTTATGCATAGATGGCAACACTTGTACTAAATCACCAATGAGCCAGTTACGAGCACCGCCCGTCTCGCCCGTCTCGAAAAACATAGAAAGTGGGCACAATATTATCCTCATTTTTTGTTCATTTTCCCCGGCACCATTGGGTTAACATTAGTAACAGCAAAATAAGATTACGTAAAATATTTTGTAAATCAAAGAAACGGGTAAACGGGCGGTGCTTGTAACTGGATCATTGGTGATTTAGTACAAGTGTTGCCATCTATGCGTAAAAACAATCAAACAAGTTCTCACTGTGGGCATAGCACGTATGTACACGTCATACCCGGCACCAAGGGGTTAAAAATTTTGTTTGTATGTATGGAATGTTCATAAGTAGAATGTTCTTAAGTAGTGGACTATCTGTACATCCTTGAAATATAATTTTTGGACCTGGAAAAGTCCTTCAATTTCAGATTTATATAGTGGGAAGGGTCATGTATGTATATGTATATATATATATATATATATATGTATATATATATACATATATATATATATATATATCATCATCATCATCATCATCTTTTGAGAGCTAACGCCATTGGGGGTGCATACCCGCATCCACCCTCGCTTCCACCTACGAGGATCCCTCATTGTGAGCCACCAGGCAGCAGCCCAGCCCATCTCTAGGTCCTCACAACAGGTTTGATCGATCTGCCCAAGCCATGACTTCCTTGGTCGTTCCACAGGCCTTCTCCAACCAGGGTTGTGTTTGGTGGGCAGGGTCATCCTGCAGGAATCGAGCCAAGTGGCCATATAGCCTGAGTTAGCGATCACGGATTGTGCAAGTAACAAGTTCTGTACTGGTCTCACGGTCCAACCGTTGGTTGGACACATGGTCCCGCCAACTGTACCCCATGATCTGGTGCAAGGATCAAGACAAGATTCCAAAGCACAAGATAGCGTCCAAGTTTCACTACCATATAGTAAAACTGGCAGTATCAGGGCTTTGATGACATGTAGCTTGGTCCTTCTGCACAGGTACTAGCATCTCCATATACTCTTGTCATGACCCGTGTTGCTAGGCCAATCCATCTACTCACTTCCTGGTTTGACAGCCCATAGTCATGAAATGCACTACCGAGGTACTCGATGTTTTCACCACAAGCACGTGCACAGGGTCAAGGTACAAGGTAAAAGTATTTAAAACCAGGGATGTATGGGCTGTGACCAGGGGAGATTAAACTTTATTCGGGAATTTAAAAGGTCACGACAAACCAAAAACAAACAAACAAACTACTCCTACAAAAAAGAACGAGAGAACACAGATACAACAAAAAACAAAAGGGGATAGGGGAAGGGTAAAAGTGAAAAGGAAGAAGTTCAAGGTGGTTTTAAAGGATGCGGCCAAGAATAAAAACAATTGCATCCACTTCTTTGTCCCATGCCAAAGTAAAAAGATCATGACTTAATCCCTGTCTCCGACCAAAATGAAAGATGATGTTGAGTCTATCCAGCCAGTCGGTATGCCAGGAACAGAGTGTGTCGGTCTGTTTACAGACCAACCTTAGTGTATACTTGTTTGTGTGAGTGCAAGTGGTGTGTATGTGAGATGTCGTATTAATGTTTTGTAAAGATGTAGCTTCATGCATGGGGCTGCACTTTTAAATGGATAAAGCGAATGTAAGGCTTTTCTTGCCAAGACGGCCTTTGAATTTATGTGCAAGTGAAATTGAAAGTGTGTATCAAAAGGTTAAACCAAGGCTGGTACAAGAGGATATGATTTGGAGAGGTGTTTGTAATGTTGAGGTAAATGTTGTAAGGAGGAAGTATTCATGATCTTACAAAGAGAACTTGTTTTTGATACATAATCTTGATATATCATCTGTGCTTCCATCTCTAGACGGTGTCGAGTTCGTCATTGGTGTGCTGAACGAAACCTGAAAGTTCATTGTGTCAAGCCGAGTGCATACAGTCATCAGCTTAGGGGATTTTTGAGTTTGCATGCTGCCCTTAGGTACTCCAGTGTGCATGTTAACCCATTGCCGCTGGGGATAACTTACACGTACATGCCATGCCCACTGTGAGTCGACTTGTTTGATTGTTTTTACACATAGATGGCTACACTTATACTAAGTCACCAATGAGCCAATTACGAGTACTGCCTCTCTCGCCCATTCACCCTTTTCATCGATTTACGAAAATATTTAACGTTATCCTAATTTGCTGTTAAAAATAACACCAACTATATTTATAGCATTAGTAAGAATACGTATTTTCCCGCCAATTCAAGGAAAGGTGAAATCAGGACTATCAGAGCCATCTATGTACAGAGATATTTCACAAAAATATAAAAAAGGAGTGCAGAATTTTCCCCATTTTTTGTTCATTTTCCACGGCGGCAATGGGTGAATGGGGCCTGAAACTTTAAGAATTTTAATTTTAATAAAATCTGAAACTTTTACCTTATTATGCATGAGATGGGAAAAGGGTGGGGAAGTTGTTACCTTTAAGTTGACGAATTTTGTGTCAAAATTCCAGTGGATTGCAAACTCTGTTGCATTCTACTATATAACTAAATCTATCCAGTATCTTTATCAGTCGTTATCAAGACTTCTTAGAATAGGTAAGTCCCATCAAACATGGTTTAATCTTTTTTAAATTTTGAGTAAAACGACTGCAGCTAGCAAAACACCTCTTTTGTCCTCTATTCTGGTTAGATGGGTGGCTTGATCAAGGCTGGGTCAAGTCAATCTGCTGGTCAAATATGGCTAGGGTCAAACAGGCACTGCTGTCTAGTCATCAGTGCATAGATCCCGCGACTACCATTAGCACTGTAATGGTGACAGCATATATTTCTTCACTACCCCTAGGCCAAGGCCAGAAGAGTGCTAAACGAGGCAAGATGGACGTCGTAGAGTTTCCTCAATTAACTCTGAGGCCCCCTTAGCATTGGTATGGGACAAGATAGTAAGATCGCTGGAAAGAGCACACCCATGTCACCACCTGCTCTGTAGATGGCATAATCCTCACAGACAAAACAGTTTTTGCAAATGAGCTAGCTAAATCCATTGCAGAGATCTCCTCTGGAGCATCTTACACTGCCCGATTCTCCACTCTTCGGGCTGAACAGGAACGACACCCAGTGTCGTTCTTCAGTAGAACTGCAGCAGAACTTCCATACAACTTGCCCATTTTGCCGCAAGACTACCCCTGGAAGTGATGATATTCCATGCCAAATGATACCGAAGAGCTCCCAAAAGTTCCTACTGGATCTATTCAATAGGACTTATAGGGAGGGAACAGTGCCATCCTCATGAAAAGAGGCTATAATCATTCTTATCCCTAAACCTGGCAAAGAAGCTTCCATACCAGGGAATTGCAAATCATTTTTTCTCCCCAGCTGAATCTGCAAGTTGATGGAGACAATGGTAAACTTCAGGCTGCTAGTAAAGGAAGCCGTTCTGACCCCATATCAATATGGGTTTAGAAAATTGAGATCGACCACAGATGCACTTATGAGGATGGAAACTGCTATACAGAATTCCTTCGCAAAGCGATGTCACATATTAGCAGTCTTCTTTGACCTTGAAAAGGCTTATGATACCACTTGGAAGCATGGCATACTCATGAAGCTGTATGACATTGGTTTAAGAGGAGCATTACCTACCTTTATACAAAGCTTCCTTGCTGACAGGAAGTTTAGGGTTCAGGTGTGGCTTTACCGAGCGCTTATTTGTAAACGTCTACGGATGTGATGCTTATTTATCTTCAACTCCCACTGTTCTCCGGATGTTAGAATCAGTTCATAATGTAGCTCTCAGAATCTGTACAGGGGCTTTCAGGTCTTCACCTGTGGAGTCCCTGTATGCTGAGGGTGGAGAACCACCTCTTTCATTACACCGGGACTACATGAACCTGATTTACTACATGATACTACAAGGGATTCCTTGATCTCCTACATCCAGATGGGTTTTCAACACCCTGACGATAGCTGATCTTATGGTAGGAGAATGAGGAATCTTGTGGAAGATCTTAATTTAAATCTCACTAAGGTTCTGGCTGTTGGAACTCCCAAATCCCCCGCTTGGACCAATCAAGTCGAACTGGATTTCGTCGGAATTGGGAAAGGGGAGAGATCCGAGGCAGAAGTCAGAGAGTGATTTCTTCAATACACCTCCAAGTACCAAGGATCAGATGCAATATATACTGATGGTTCTAAATCTGAAAATGCAGTGAGCCGGAGGAAGACTGCATTTGGCCTCTATCAGCCTCGATCTTCACTGCCATCCTTTCAGCAGTCAAGATGACTAGAGATCATTCCGTTGTAATAAATTGTGACTCTCGCAGTGCCTTGCAAGCAATCAAGAGCTTAAACTCATCACATCCAGTGGTGAGGGAGGTTCAAGATTGGCTTCCACTGATGTCTGCACGTAAAATGATAATTCTGTGTTGGATGCCGGCGCATGTTCGTATCATTAGGAGTGAACGAGATGATCGAAGGCCAAGGCAGCTGCCGCTCGGCCCTGTGATGCTCATTTTCTCTCCCACACACTGACTTGAAACCCAGCATCAGGAGTTGTCTTTGCGATAAATGGATGGAACAGTGGAGGCATACCTCTAAAAA